AACATACCACTGAAACTACTTTTTCCGAGATAGTATAAGTTGAAAATGAATTTGATATATGGTCCAAGAAAATTCAAATGGTTACGAATGCAGGACCCAATGTAAAGAAAAGTGTTCGTCTTGGAGAATATAACAATCATTTATTTTGGGCATAGATCACATAATCTAGTGACAGTTGACGGAATAAATAAAGTTAATAAAATAAAAAATCTCATTACAAAGTAAGAGAACCATTCTCTATAGGCAGAGACAGACAAAACAATTCATCAACAATTGAATCAAGAATTTTAAGAGACAAATTTAAAAAATTTTAAAGTCTTAATTATTTTTTTATATTTCATTGTTATAAATAATGAATTGTATCAAATATGCAGAGTTGTTAAAGGATCTAGATACAATTATCTAGATATAAAAATGTGGTATCTGTATCTAGATAGATTTTTGATTAAAATATCTGTATCTAGATATTATTTTAGACGATGTATCTGTATCTAGATCCATTTAAAAAGTATCTTTTGACAACTCTGCAAATATGTAATTGATTATTGTTATTATTTAGAATATTACCTAATAAATAAATTTATATAATAAAATAGAAATGTGGTTAAATTTTTAAATCTTTATTCTGATCACCTTATAATTTAAAATCCCGAATTTATTTGACAAAAAATATTATAAAATCTTAAGTTATTTATTTATAATTTCTATATAATTAGAAGCACTTAATAAATATTTTTATTAGAATTAAGCATATATTTTAATAAATCTAATTTTTCAATTCTTTATTAATAAATTTGTACACTATTTTAATAAATAAAAACTTTATGAATATTTATTTTAAATACTAAAAGATATCTAATAACAAATTTGAACATAGGAATAAAATTTTATTTAGGAATAAAAATATAAATACAATAAAATCATATATATTTACAAATAATATATATATATATATACAAATAATTTATTCATTAATGCTATTAAATAAATCAAGATTAGTTTGACCACTTTCTATTGATTGTTCTATTTGGTTGTATGTAATTATTCATTGTAATGGAATAAAAGATTTTCATTACTTCAGATTTAAAAAGGTATTGGTGATGTATACTAAAACCATCTAGCCCTTCTTCCAATGAAAGTAGAAATAATTTTGATAAAATGTAAGCTTTTTAAGATAATTAGAAATTTTACCTGTTTGAAGATGGCTTCTATTTATAATTCTTCATCAAATTTTTGACTTGGGGATGAAGTAACATTCTTAATACTCTCACTGGTTGGCCTATCAGCAATTGTAGGCTCCATTTTATATACTCCAACCATTTGTATGATGTCTATCAATTCATATTTAAAAATATCTCATATTTTAAAGATTTCTTACATTTTTGAAGTAGTATCCATTTTTTATCGTATCAAAATTTCTATTATTATAGAAAAAAGTTTCAAAAAAAGCAAACCAAGTTGCGCTTTTTAAAGTGGCGTAATTGGAAAACGTGTGCGCAATTTTAACAAATGCATTAGTTGCGTTTGCAACATAACGTTTGAAACGCTCAATTTGTGCGCACTATTATGCACACTTTTTCCTGAATTTGTATCAATATTTTCATGTGGCAGAACAAAAGGCTCTATAATAATGCAAAATATTTTGGCACCGGCATATATTATAAAAGATTTAAAAAAACAAACCCATTTTCAATACTAACATATGTGTCTAATAAAGGTGATATAAAAATATTATTACTTAAATACTTCAACAAAAAGAATGGAAAAAGTGTTAAATTACTTAAATTTTTTTCTTCTACAGTGAAACCCTAAAAGTTATATGTAGATTCTTGCTAGAAAATTTAAAAATATCTGGACTATATTGCTAATGTAATGGACCATTGTGTAGATAAAGCATCTGTAAACTTTGGGAAAATTCAAAGTATTTGGACGGAATTGAAAAACATGATAATATACCAATAGGTTGTATATGCCACATTCTTCATAATTCGTTTAAAAAGGCCATTTGCAGAAGCATATTTAGGTATTATCGTTAACGTTGGCACTTTAGTCAATAACATAAATTTATAATTACAATCGGAAGATATCTTCGCAATATATATACATGCTCTTATCCAAAAACAAAATAATTCATTAAATTTAAAGAAAAATAATATTATCTACTATCAGAATCTGCAAAAATTATAGTAAGATAAATATAATTTTAAAAATGAGTCAGCTGGTAAATATAGTAAGAAAATAATTTCACCAAAAAATTGTTATTTTTATTTAAATATATCATTCAAATTAATGTAAGTGCCCATTATGTAATAAACTTATTAAAGTAACCAAATTGGGGCTATTGCCATCTCATCGTAACCATAAAATAAAGTGTCCTCAATCTGGATTACCCATCTTATCACCAGCAATTCCTAGAATCCTTAATGCTTTCTCTGCCCTTGCCCTCACAAATAAACAATCCATAGTCACCATTCCCACATCATAGGCTGATGTGCTCACTAGCTCAATAATCCCTACCTTCACTGTCACAAATGCTTCGACGTTGGACCCAGCTGACTCAAATGTAGAAATATTTCTAACGACACCAAAACCATTTGTAGTTTCACGAATACCTAAAGGGGCAAAGCTTCAAGTTGCGAGACACCTGTTGAAAAACTTGACTTCCTTGTTAAATAATTATTCTTCTGTAAAATACTGGCTAGACACCCTGTCATTTGCCTTTACTACCTTACAAGTTCTTGATCTTGCCAGCAAAAAATCCTTGACCAAACAAATTATAGATGCTTCTATCTACCCTTTACCTATCAATCACATTACCACATCTTTTACGAGTGATGACACAGATAAAAATATAAATTACAAAAATGACCTGCTCAACAAGACCAGGCTAATATCTAAAAAATTGGATAACCTGAATGTTAAATCCGCCATACCTCTGGCAACCTCCGACAATAAGCTGGCTCCCTATGATCAAGCAACTTATCAGGCTCTTCTCCTAAAACACCACTCACAGGATTTTAAAATTAAATACCGACGTACCCTGAAACTCTTCTAATTGCTGCCACTTATACCGTAAGCGACGTTAGAAAGGCTATCCTTCAAACGCGATTCCTCACCTGGGTTCGATAAGTTTCGCCCAATATTCCTACAAGACCTAACTGCACCTTACATAACACAACAATGTGACGTTCTAGAAAAAATTACCCAATTAATTAATTATTCCACTGCTATGCGGAGCTAAACTCATCGCTCTCCATAAACCCATTAAAGATATTCGCCCAATCGCTATTGGAACCACTTGGCGCCGATTAACTGCCAAGCTATGTGAGGTATCCATTCACATGACCCGGATGTATCTGCAAACGGACCCCACCAACGATATCCTAGTAAAAATCGACTTCTCAAACGCCTTTAACTCTCTAAGGCGTGGAGCTTTTCTAAATCCTATCCTCACCCTCTACTCAGAATAATCACAATTTATCTTCGATTGTTATGCTGATCCCTAGCATCTTCAATTCGGAGATAGATTCCTTCTTGCGATGGGATACAACAAGGTGACCCTCTAGGTTCCTTTTTGTTCTGTCTGGGCATTAATAGTCTAATACGAGACATCAATGACCAATGCAAGCTAAATCTTTATAACTGGTATATCGACGATGGTATACTAGGCGGTCCACCGACTGAAGTTATGAAGGTAATCCAAATAATAAAATCCAGCGAAAAAAGTTTGGGACATTGAACGCTTTAACACATCTCGGATCTCCAGTAGATAAAGACGAGTTCTTTATCAAGTTATTTGCCGATATTTTACGAGATATCCGTTATGCGCGATACACTATCTCGCCTCCCAGCTCACCAAGATTTCTTCTTATTAAAGAGCTATCTTCTAATTCCAAGAATTTTATATACACTCCCATGGTCACGGATTTTTCAATATGACGTCAACCTCGCTGCACACGAACTGGAGATTAAACGCCTTACATAAGATATACTCAATCTTAAATTTTGGGAATTATCATGGTTACAGGCTACCTTACCAAATCCAACGGCATTAGCATAAGGTCACCTTCCCTACTTTCCGTTAGTGCGCTCATATCCTCTCGCCTGTCCTGTGAGCCCATCATACAAACACTCACCAAACGTCTTGACCCCTTACTCCTACAGGCAATTGATCTATGGAAGTCCTTTTCATTAGTCCTCCATCGTCGGCTTTACAGAAGGATTGGGATAAACCTCTAGTTTGCAACCGAAGAGCCAACCAGACGACCATTCTCTACTCTTCTCCATTTCCGCAGGTAGTGGATAGAAATTTTTTGAGGCTTTCCCATCGCGAAACCTTGTCCTAAGCAATGATGAACTACGTCACACCATAGGCATAGGTCTTAAACTTAATTGCGATATGGTAATGCCTTATGACTGTATCCTCTGTCAGCGTCTACATAACTAAGGGGGGGTAGGAGACAAATGCCTCCAAAATATATTGGTATTTTTGGGGGTTGATATTGATTTTTTGGGGGTAGGCATTAATTTTTTGAGGGTAGGTATTGATTTTTGGGGGGTAATTTTTAATTTGAATTATAATTTTTTTAAATCCATTAATTGATACGATTATGATGGCTATCGTTGATTTTCTGACAAATGTCAATTAAAGTAAAGATATTGTCAATTAATAAATAATATAAACTTTATTTGTCAACCATTTTTATTTATCAAGTTAATATTTACACATTTCTAATTTGGTACTTTTCTTAGAGATTAATATATTTATATTATGTTTTTTAATAAATTTCTAGATTTTAGCAGGATAAATTTTAGGTAATTTTTGAGTCATGCTTAAAAAACATATATCACAGCAAGCAAAGAATAATAAAAAACATATGTAAAAAATTATATTATAATAATTATTTCTTTCTAGATGCCAAGTAACAGAACCTTATTTAAGTTAAAGTGTAATTACATTAATTGTAAAACTTCTAAAATAAGAAGTGACAAGATACATGAACATTATAAACATCCTCATGTCAAGCCAGCTGATATGAAATTTACAATATAGCCATCAAAAGAGATAATAATAATTGGGTATCCTTAAATTGTGATATTCCATATAATATCACAAATGGAGTTGAAACCCAGTTGCAAAAAAAAGACAATAACATATTACTTCCAAAAAGTAATATTTTTTATTTATTATTGTAACTAAAGACAAAAAATATTATTGAAAATATACCTTAAATTTGTGAATTAATAGAAACAGATTTTTATTTAAAATTTGACCAGATTAATATTAATGTAGTCAGGGTATAGAGAAAATGAATTATATATTTTATTATTAAATAATTTTTTTAACTGTTTATCACATTATTTTTATCTCAGTTCAATTTAACAATATGTTTAATAAGTTAATAATAATAATAATTTAAAACCAAAGTATTAAAAAAACTTATTAAGTTAATATAATGTATTAATTTCTAGGAATTTTTAAATTTAAATCTTTTCATCTTTAATTGAATTAAGATTTCAAAGTTCTTTTACTTTTTTTAATATTATGAATTGGATTCAACTATTTTCAAAATGTTATCTGTGTGAATTTCATCCCCTTTATTTATATTATGTGTTATATTAGGTATGTTTATAATATTAACATTGTTTTATTTAGCTATTAGAATTTCTTTAGATAATATACTTTCATCATGAATTTCACAATGTTATTTATACTAATTTTTCTATTTATAAGTTTACTATTGTTTTTACAGTAATTATAATATTCTTTTATGATTTCTTCATGTGATCGCAGTTTTATATTAATCTGCATCTATCATGCCTATGAATCTTTCAAGTATATTTTCAAAATGTTTTAAGGTGATCTTCCTAACAAAGACATTTTATTAATGTTTTTGATTAACACGTTCAAAATTTGTGAATTCCCTTTGTATTCTACATTCACTTGTGCTGTATCTATCACTTGTATCATCTTGCCATTGTAACCTTATAACTTTATGTTGGACTTCATAATATTTTTAATGCCTGTTTTCTCAACCATGTATTGTTGTAGAATTAAGACATTTATTAAAAACTTAATTACAATGTAGTTAAGAAAAAAATTACCATTTGGCTAAAATTTTATTAAAAATATAGTTTTTCATAAGGAAAAAAAAATTATAACTCCTCTTTATTTATAGAAAATCTCAGTTATTGAAGATTCACAAATTGTATTATCTCCTCATCCAATCCCCAGTTCCAGTGAGGCGCTTACTTTGTATGATGAGGTATTTAATTTAAATACGAATTATATGATAACTTTTGAAGGAAATAAATTATGATTATGAGGTTATTCAAATATTTCCAATATTTATTAAAAACTTAATTATAACGTAGTTAAGAAAAAAATTACCATTTGGCTAAAATTTTATTAAAAAGGAAAGAAATTAAACTCCTCTTTATTTATAGAAAATCTCAGTTATTGAAGATTCACAAATTGTATTATCTCCTTATCCAATCCCCAGTTCTAGTGAGGCGCTTACTTTGCATGAGGTATTTTATTTAAATAAAATTTATATAACTTTTGAAGGGAATAAATTATGAGGATATTCAAAGTCCAAGTCTTATTCAGCTATACAAAAAGAAGGAATCAAATGACCCATTTATTTAGGATGACAAATATTTTGATTAATTTCATAATTGCTGTAGACCCATGCCTGTTACTCACAAGAGGTTTTAAATAATTAATTTTCATTAATTTTTTCGCATCCATTATTTCTATACCAGTATTTATTTTTTTTACTTTTTAAACAGGAGCATGAATATAATCTATTATAGAAAAGTTAATATATATGGTTCCCTCAACCCCAGAAATTGGCTATCTTATAGCACTACTTTAGACAAATCTTTTGTCTATACTGTATTATGTTTGGTGGCCCTAAGTCCAATACTTTTTGGACTCAACTTGGTGTAAATAATTAGAAAAGCATAAAGCATGACTTAGAGAGACACGAAGCATCTTCTCTTCATAAAGATTGTGAATATGCAAACATCTTGGCTTGCAAATAAACGCATTCAAGATCATTTGCTATCAAATAAGCTTGATATAATCATGGAAAATCGTAATATAGTTCATAATATTATCGATGCCATTATGTACCTTATAAAATGTAATATAGCCTTTTGGGGTTCTAATTCGAATGAAGGTAATTTTATGTGCCTCATAAAATTAATGGCAAAAACGGTTCCAACTTTACGTGCATACATGGATAACAATGAAAAATTTCGGAGAAAAAAATCAGATAAAATTTCGAGACCTTATATAAATTTACTGTCATATGGCCACGTGAAAAAAATAACTGAAATTATTAAGATAAAAATAACAAAAAGCATTATTCAAAAAATTAAAGAGAATCGTGCCTATAGCATCATATTAGATGGAACATATGATGTGTCTAAAAAAGAATGCAAAGCTTTGCTTGTACAGTATATAGAAGATGATCTGCATCCACATCCTGTAGAAAGGATCATACAAGTTTTTACAACATCAGAAACCATTGGGGAAAATATAAAGAAACATGTTTTTTCTAAGTTTAATGATCTTGGTCTTCCTCTTGATTATTTGGTTGGACAAAGTATGGATGGTGCAGGGAATATGAGAGGAGTATACAAGGAATGCAGGCTTTAATATTGAAAGAGGCTCCAAAAGCCATCTATATTTGGTGCCATGCACATCGGCTAAATTTAGTAGTTGCTCATGTTTGTGGATGCGAAATTGAAATGAAAAAGGCAATGGGAATATTAGATGAGTTATATAATATTATGAATGGAGTTAGACGTCAAGGTGTGTTTGTTAAATATCAAATGAGAAAGTCCAAGAAATCTCTTAAAAGAATTAAAAACACAACAAGGTAAATAAAATATTTTTAATGTATATTTTCAGAAATTGGGCATCATCCTACAAATCTGTAGAAATCTTTTTAGATGTTTATGAACATATTTTAGCATCATTAGTTGAATTGAAAAATTTTAATTACCCAAGTACCTCTTCCATTGCCGATGGATTCTTATCAAGAATTAAGGATGAAAATTTTATATTAAGTCTATTTATTTTGAAAGAAATATTGAAATGTACACATGAGGCTTGTATTGAAATGCAGGCAGTTGTAATGATTTGGCTATGGTAACCAAATTAATACAACATACAAAAAATAAATTACAAAGACTAAAAGGTTAATATTAGTTACTATTTCTATAAATAATTTTAAAATATAGCTAATGGAGACAATATATTTTTAAAATTACATTCCTTATCTAATAGTTTTTTGAAAAAGAATAATGTAATAACTGATTTGTATAATGAAATCAAAATTGGATCAAACAGAATTCAATAATTATGTTGAACAAAAAAAAACAAGTTGAATAAATAAAAAATTTTAAATTATTATTTATTGTTATAGATATAGAACGGAAATATTTTTCCCTGTGCTAAATACAATAATTAACCAACTAAATGATCGATTTAATTATGATTGTTTAAATTTTTTATCACAAATATCCATTTTTACTCCCGCTGGAATTTTGGATAATGAAAAAATAGAAGGATGGCAAATATCCGAAATTTGTCATACTTATCAATTGGATGTCCAAAATATTGTTGATGAATATAATGATTTTCGCTCTTTATATTTGGAGTCTCAATCAATCATTTTTTGCGAAGATCTTTTGCAAGTTAAGAAGAATGACGCGTTATATATTGATGAAAGTAATTTATTGATATTTTATTTGTAATTGTATATAATTATAGGTATTGCAAACGATCAAACTACCGAAGAAAATATAAACAGCGAAATCAAGACCAAATTAGAAAAATGGATAAAATATTCTTTTATATTACCATACCGACTTTTAAATCAATTAATTCTTATTCTAATTTAAATTTATTATATAAATATTTATTAACCCTTCCTACAACTTCCTGTTCAGCCGAAAGAGCCATGAGTTAAGTAAATATTAACAAAACTCGAATGCGGAATAAAATTTCGGACCCATTTTTAGAAAATTTACGGTTAATATCCAGCGAAATTGATGTTTTTGAAAAATTTACAATAATGATATTATAACACAATTTGCATTAACATCTATAAGGTTATTCAAATTATTAATAAAATAAGTAATGTATCTTTTTCACTGCGAATATATACGCTTTTAAAATAAGTAAATTTAATTTAACATTTTATAATTTCAATGCAAAATATATTATAATTCATTTTATTCTAATATTTTATATAATAGCTCAATACATGTTTTTAATTAATTAAAAGGTAATATGGGTATGTGGAATCAAGCTAAATATACCTCTTTAAATTTATTCCTCTTATATTTTTTACAATATTTTAGATCTTTTTTTAGAAATATTAATGTTATCTCATTTAATTCACTTATATATATTTTATGAAAATAAAGTGAATATCAACCAAATTATGAAAAGATTGCATTATTTAAATATAAGTTGATTATCACCTACAAATTTTAAAAAAAAATTTTCCCTAAATAGGCTTGAAAGATTCTAAATAGAATTATGTTGTAAGGTTATAAATGGTGGCTTATTATAAGATTTTTTAAATAAAATCACTATACCATCGTAGGTCTGTAAATTTTGCAGCCGAAGGCCGCGTGATTTTTTTTAGGTGGGTATGGGTAGATTTTGGAGGGGTTTGCCTCCATCAAATTTTCTGCCATGTAGACGCTGATGGAGAGGAACGATATCGCATCTAGCCCATAACATGTAATTAGTAGTATTTAGTGGGTAAAAAGTCCTGGTAATATATCTTAGACAATTATTTATAAATGTCTGCGTCTTGTTATTATACAACTTGGAATCCTTCCAAGTTTCCACACCATAATAGAGGGAAGCCATTATTAGAACTTTAAATAATCTAATCTTCAAAGGAATGGATAGTTGTCGTGACGTCCAAATTTTCATCAAGGATCTTTTACCCTGGATTTGTTTAATTTAGCCTACTGATCCTGTTTTGTACATCCTTTCTTATCAAGTAATACACCTAAATATTTTAAAATAGACACTTCAGTGATCTTTTTTCCTTCTATTGTTAAGGTTATAGGTGGAGGAGTATAAAAAGACGTCATCATTTTCGTTTTGTTTATATTTAATATTAAACCAAAATATCCTGCCTCTATGATAATACAATTAATGACTGGTTGAATAACCAATACCGATTCACCAACCAGGCATAAACCGACGGCAAAAGCTAGAATGTTTAATTTCCCAGAAGACCACTGAGCCAAATGTATATATCTGACTTTCATATTGATATGATTGGTAATAAAGTTAAATATAAGCGGTGATAAAACGCATCCTTGCTTCAAACCAATATTTATCGGATTTTTGGGAGATTTTTTCTCAGCATGAATAATTTGCATTGAATAATCTTTATAAATTAATTTCATCAAGCTTATCAAAGCAGAGGGTGTACCTACCTCCTCTAAAATCTCCATAGTTTGGAAAGTATTATTGAGTCAAAAACTTTTTTGAAATCCAGAGCAACAATTATTAACTGTCTTTTCCGTATTACCGCTCGCTTTAACTGAATTATTATTGCTAGAATCGCCTCTAGTGCATTTCGACTCTTCCTAAACGAAACCAATGAATCAACGAAATGTGGTTCCATTATCGGTCTTAACCTATTTAGTATAACATTCGCGAAGATCTTATATACCACCGAATTTAGTGATATTTCCCTCCAGTCTTCAACAAATCTAGGATTTTTAGTTTTTGGGAAATTGATTAAAATAGCGGTGAACCAATCATTCGGACAGATCCTCTCATGCCATACTCTTGATATGATTGGGAGAAGAATCTCCGCGCATAATATGGGATCGGTCTTCAAGTATTTACTATGTATTGAGTCCTGACCACATGCTTTGTGATTTTTCAGTTTGTTAATTATTCTAACTAATCCAACTTTCTTTGGTTGAACCAGGCTAACATCATTTGAGGTTTGCGACATTGATGATCGTTGTACATAATTTACAGAAGGATGGGGGTATGACATTGGTTGTAAGTTTTGCATAGAAGGAAGGGAGTATGACAAAAGATGGGGGTATGACATTATATAAGACTGATTATAGCAATATGGAGTTAGATATGGGTAATAATTTAATGGTCGATAGATCTGTGGTATTTTGATCTTTTTATAATGAGAGGAAGGGACGACATTATTACTTGAACTTTATGGAGATCAAATTTTCGATGTAGTAGGGTATTGATCAAGTAAGTGAGAATATGTGACATTATAATTATAGGAATAAGTTGTGTCATAATGAGGGAAAAGGACGGCATTATTACTTAAACTTGTTGGTGGAGGCCAAACTTTCGAAGTAATAGGGTGTTGATTGAGTAGATGAGAATAATGTGAAGATTTAGTTGCGTCATTATAATTATTGGGTTGATCGAGTAGATGAGAATAATGTGAAGATTTAGTTTTGACATTATAGTTATTAGGTCGATCGTGTAGATGAGAATGATGTGAAGATTTAGTTGTGACATTATAATTATATAGGAATAAGTTGAAGTTGAGGGCCAAAGCTTTGAACTATAGGGACATTGATCAACAGTAGAGTTTGGAGTTGGTTTATCATTTAAAAAACTCTCACATACTCCGAAAAATCTAGAATAATTAGAGTACCAAATGTTGATTTGAATTTTGAAATCCGTTATCAAGTTATTCCCTTGCCAGAGTTTAAATATACACTGTTTCCTGCTAGATGTGAAAGATTTCAGTAGTCTAAAGGCTTTGAAAGTATTTGTACTAAACAAATTGTTAATTTCAACTGCACGATTTTCTAAGTACTTCTTTTATCACTCCTGAGTTTGTGGCTA